TCAACGTTACTTATATTCGTATAAGAGTAGGGTTTCGAGACTACCAGTAAATCAGTGTTTCGAGATGAGTCCTGTGACTCAAGGGTACTCGTGGCAGTGTAGCCGAGTGGTTGTTGAGCCGACTGCAAATAGGAGTCGACTCAACTAGTCTTTTCATATCTTGGTTATAATAATTGTCATTTCTCTGTACTTTTAGCTCCCTCTTTCTCTCCCATATGAAGACAAAAAAAAACAAAATATAACGCTCATCAACATAATCAGTCGTGTCTGACCTTTCGCAATCATAGTGACTGTTAAAACATGTAAATAGAAAGAGGTTATGGTGGGTATCAAATCTTGATGGCTAAAATAGACGTTACTTTTGCTGTCCTAATTACTTTTAGCCATCACTGCTGGCTTCTTGTATAAGCGAACACAAACAGACGCATACGCATACAGTGACAGACACTCACATGCTTCGAGATTGAAATATGACGGTAACTAGCCAAATCACATTATACCTTATCAAAGAGGTCAGAGGGAGTATATATGCAGTTTTTTGGAATGTACCGGTGAGTTTTCTTGAATTTGGTTGTAAGGGTGATACCTTGTTTTGATAATGTTCTTCATATGATGGACGAAAGCTTAGCACGTTTTCACCGGGATTGAAGAAGATTTCCCCGGAAACAGCGTCAACATGAATGCTCCAGTAGAGCCAATCGACAACTGGTCAAGAGAAGTCCGTCGTCGTCTTCAGGTGGAATTGACCTTAGAATATCTTCACCAAACACTTTCATTCAAAATGGAAATAATCTCAATAATTATGAAACAAGAGATTCCTCGAAGCCCAACTTTTCTTTGCAGTTCTACTTGCTTTGGTAAGGCTTATTGCAGATGTTTCCTTTTTATTTTTTATTTTTCCTCCTTGCGATTTGTTTTCCTCAATTTTAATATGTTTTCTTGATCTTGTATTATTCTTTTGTTCATTTTTTGCTGTTCCCTGATCTCCTCTGTGGGTTAGATAATATAAAAAGTTTTTGGTAATGCTGCCAATTTAAAGTCTCACTTTCGTTAGATTGCTTTGTCAGGATATCGCTTGCTGACTAAGGAGTTGACTCAGATCAACACTTCTAGCACAATGCGGGGATGAGGCAACTCGCGAGGTGCATGAATAGGTCTCATTAAACCCGCTCAGAAGAGCACGTCTGAACTAAGTTTAAATAGGCAAATAAGAAATTCTCATAGTGATGGTGTGATAGGATTGGTGAATGCACCATGGCATAAGAAAAGATGCCACGATTATTCAGCAGATCATTGGTCCAATAATCGATTTTATTTATCACTTTGACGAATTTTAATGTTGAGCTAAGTATGCCAAGGCTTACTGACGATGTCGACTACGATGAAACGTCTGGGAATGTACTAAGTCAATCCTCCGACGCTTGTAACTCTCATGGATACCAGTTGCGTCCCTCAGGTCGCCGTAGCAATATGACCAAGTGACGAGAACAAGGTCAAACCACTAACTAGTACTATTATTGACTAATGCTTTGGTGGCTATCCGTTATGGTTAAGCTGAGACATTCTGAGTTTTTGATGATCTTAATACTTTACGATACACCATTGAAGCATGTTATCGCCACTAAAAGCTTCTGTAAATTCTGTTTACAACAGGTTTTATGTGCGGTGATGCTGTTTATGACAAAGACGGAATTGGAGCACTGGCTGTAATGACAGAACTCGTTAATCATGTATATGGCAACGGATTGACTTTGCACCAAAAGCTAGATGAGATTTTTGCACGGTAAGCACTGTGATTTTAAGCTGATCATCCCTACTATCTTTGATACAAGGTTTTCATGTCTGTATACTAATTTGCTACAAAAAAGCCATCATTGCTATGCTTAGTATTTTTATCACTATTACTAGTGCATATTTAGGTTGCATTTACTAAGCGCTAATGGCATTTATGGCTAAATTTGCAAGCTAACTCGTTATTATAATTATTGCAGTTTTATCTTAGATTAGCTGATTAAAAAGGAGTGTCTTGATAAAAAATAGCAGACATGCGTGAAGCCGTTTTCTGGCGTCCATATAATAAGTTAGAAATAATCCCCATATTGTAATTTTTAAATAAATTATAGGATATCAAATTTTTCGCCCATATGAATTTCATTTTCCAATTAAAATATGATGATTCAGTATCGTCTAAATACAGTGGGTCATTTGCCAGGTCTAGGCCAATATAAAATTTTTAAGGCGATCCTTACTAATCTCATAAAATAGGCCTTTTAGTTAAGTATGTCCATATTTTAATTTTTTTCTTTTGAAATACTTATGGGCTCTTATCTTTTTATTGACACTTTTGGCGTGTAACTGCAAGTCGTCATCATAAGGAACTGGCAAAGTTTAATTAATTGCTACATACTGTGCATTATAAACTATCGGATGGTTGAAAATGTGGCGTATTTATAACAAAGCTTATTACTATTGATTTTATTAATTAATCTTAATTCCCAATACAACAAGTTATTATTTAATTTTTATCTAATTTAAACAGTGCTAGCAGAATTTTGCTCATTTTATAGTGCTTTACAAAAACTAGTTTAGCTCATTGATATGAAGACCAAGCTGATGTAGCCTTCTATTTGGTCGCAGTCTCCCTGACGTCCCGATCAAGTTGCGAAAACTAGGCTGAACCAACATTGTAGTTTAGAGCATATAAAACAGATTCTATCACTATTTTCTCAAAACGTATTTATATATAGATTTGTCAAGAATCAAACAACAACTGTTAACCTGCCGAGATTGTACACCTCATTATCAGGGTTCGATTCTCGCTGGGGGTGCTGGTAAGACCTAGGCGAGGTCGAGACTGCAATCCATCCTTAATGAGAATACCTTTTGGGAAGCAACGCTATGCCAAATGCAATTTAAATATTAAGCCTACTCATATAAACTACTAATCCCTTATCACCTTTAACGAAATGGGATGAATAGATATCATATATATGATTTAATGGTAGTCTCAGTATGTACATATACTTTGCCTTTTGCGAGAGATATTTTCATCATATATTCTAGGTTAAAGATGGATGCTTTCTTTGAAAGTTTGCTAGATCACCCTGGGAGTGCAATGAGTGATGGGCATATAAGTCAGAACCATATATTAGAAACCAAATTTTTCTGATATGAAGAGAATCTGGGTTTAGATAAAGGTATGCTAGTATCAATAAATTTTTCTGTTTACTTAGGTCAATATGCTAATCACATTGGAAAAACTGGGTGCTGATTCCTTATAACTAGTTGAACTTAAGTCATGATTTCTATTTACAATATCTATAGCATCTTATCTGTCTACACTAGATGTCATAATATCTAACTGTTAGCCCATAATCACTTCATTACTACGATAGTTAATTCCTTTTACATTTATAGTTATGGTGCACATGTCCATAATAATGGATACTTCATTTGCCACGACCAGAATCGTATTTCCAAAGCCTTTAATAGATTGAGATGCTGGCCAGATGGTCAAGGTCAGACCCAATATCCCAGCCACTGTGGTCGCTTTAAAGTTACTGGAATAAGAGATCTTACCACTGGTTTCGACTCCTCATACAAGGATAAACAAACAGTAAGAAAATAAATCTTATTCTTATTTACAAATGGTTTCTTTATTTCTCTTCCGTTTACGTTTGGAATGATCCGAGTTCTTTTAAAAGAGTAATATTATTGGACATGTCCTGAGGCCGATAGACATGATAGAAGAATGTGGTATTGAAGCTGTATGGTGACTAGGTGTGTACAGCTAGTCGGTTG